AGTAGCTTCTTTCAAGGAAACCTGTCTGTGGGATGCTTAGCACACGTCAACTCTAGGAAGTTAACACAATTAGCTAGTTATGTCCACACGACGTTACTACCCAGAAGACCAACATCGACATCGTCAACTTCTTGAGATCTGAGATCTTAAAAATAAATTATTAATTTACCTGCCAGTAAAATTCCTCTCAGTAGTAATGTTTGTTTGGGAAAATGTTTGTATGTTTATATGTGAAATAATATACTTGTAACAACAATCATTTAATATATAGACCATTGAGTTATGCAGAATTGCATAAAAAAACAGACATTGTATAAATAGTTTTCCAACGATAGATTATACAAGTTTGCCAATGGTAAAATGTTAACTTCGTTATATCACTAATTTCGCAGCCTGTACACAGTTAAATAATTCTGTTAACTTCCTAGAGTTGGCGTTTGGATGGCTCATTTATTTGTATCAGTCATAAATTAACATCAACGCCGATGAGGTGCTCAAAATTGCGAACACAGCATATGGAAAATGTGTGCAGTGCTGCTACAAAGTGAAGTATCATCCCTCTCTCGTTTATTGCTAACGGTAGTACCGAACAAAAAGTTTGGCACTATTTATTTTTTCCACTAATTTTTTTATATATTTTCTGTGCGGTTGGCAGGCTGTGTTGCAAAGTACCGACTTCGAGAGTTAACAAAGAATGGATACATTTCTTAACTTATTACTGTTATCATCATCATCATAAGTACTTCTATGATGAGGCGCTGAATTAGTGTATGATGACGCACATTAAAAAACGTTTTAGTTTGTTTGGGTTTTGTAATACCATGTGAAAGTAATGTGAAACAGTAACTTTTATTCCTGATACATAGGTGTAGGCCCAGGTGTAAGAAAACATATATTACAATTAAGTTTTATGTTTGTTCTGCCATCTATTGACGGAGATAGTGAACTTTCATAGGCTTGTGTCGATGGATCGCGATTCCCAGTTACGCGTAGCCAATATTGGAATATTATATCTATGATCTACGTAGAATTTAAGGCAAATTAATGATAATTTAATGAACTGTTAATTCATACGGTCATCACAATTAAGAATTCACAGTAAAGTTCCCAAATTATATTTGCTGAATTGTATGTTGAAATTTAACATATTTTATTTTATCAGTTTCTAATTCAAATTTAATAAGTAGCAGATATATTTATGTAAAATGAGAGGTTAGGACAGAATAAATAAAAAATTCAATCATTGTACGTTTTCGTTTATTAGTATTCTTGAAAGAAACATTGTAATTAACTCTAAACATCGTAACTTCAAACTATTTTGCTAATATGGTACGTCTATTTATTTTTTTACGTTGGTAGAGTGCTGACCTTTGTTTGCTATGTAACTAGGAGTTAGGTTATGTGCTATCTTGTAACACGTGTAATGCAGTGATATTGATATATTTAGTTCATACGGGGTTGTAGCACTTGATGTTCAAAGCAATACATCAGGTAACTAATACGAAATGGCATCGGATTTAAGTGAAAAGGTACTAGAATATCTAGATCAGCATGGAAGTGTTGATACATTGGATTTGGCAGAATTCGTGCAGGAAGATCACCAGAAAGTTGTTGGCTCTGTGAAAAGTCTGCAAGCAGCAGGTGATTTAATAACAGTAGAGCAGCAGATCCATAAAAGATGGGAACTGACAGATGAAGGGAAAACAGTTGTAGAGAAAGGAAGCCATGAAGCCCTTGTTTACTATGCTGTTCCAGTAGAAGGAATTTCTCAGTCAGTCATTATGCAAACTGTCCCTAATGCCAAGGTAGGATTCAGTAAGGCAATGTCATCAGGTTGGATAACAGTTACTAAACATGCAGGAGAGGCAGTTGTAAGAAGAAAAGTGGATGACATTAAGGACACAGTTCAAGAGTCTCTAAAGCTCATTGTGGGCAGTACTCCCAATGCAGTCACAGATGCACAGAAACAGGAATATAAGAAGAGAAGGCTTCTTCAGGAAGTGGTAACAAAAAGCTTTCTGTTAGGGAAAGGGGTAGATTTTAGTATATCTGTGGAAAAACCAGAAACAGAGCTAACACAAGAAATGATTGCAAGTGGTTGTTGGAAAGAGAGGAAGTTCAAACCTTACAATTTGGATTCCTTAGGTATTGCCCCAGAGCGTGGACACCTACACACTCTGCTTAAGGTGCGTGATGAGTTTCGTCAGATCTTCTTGGAGATGGGTTTCTCTGAAATGCCAACCAACAATTTTGTGGAGAGTTCATTCTGGAATTTTGATGCTCTCTTTCAACCCCAGCAACACCCAGCAAGGGATGCACATGATACATTCTTCATCTCTGAACCCAAGTTAAGCACAAAGTTTCCTTCTGACTACCTAGAACATGTGAAGCAGGTACACAGTGAAGGTGGATATGGGTCACAGGGTTATGGCTATGAATGGAAGATTGAAGAGGCCCAGAAGAACCTATTGAGAACACATACCACAGCTGTAAGTGCACGGATGTTGTATCAGCTTTCACAGAAGGAATTTCATCCTGCAAAATATTTCAGCATCGACCGTGTCTTCCGAAATGAAACATTGGACGCCACTCACCTGGCAGAGTTCCATCAAGTAGAGGGTTTGATTGTAGACCATAATCTAACTTTGGGAGACTTGATAGGTACTCTGTATGAATTCTTCAAGAAATTGGGCATTACACAACTGAACTTCAAACCAGCTTATAACCCATACACAGAACCAAGCATGGAGATTTTCTGCTACCACACTGGCCTACATAAGTGGATAGAAGTTGGTAACTCTGGGGTGTTCCGGCCTGAAATGCTTCTGCCAATGAGTCTTCCAGAAGATGTAAATGTAATTGCATGGGGACTGTCCTTAGAACGACCGACTATGATCAAATATGGTTTGAACAATATCCGTGACCTTGTTGGTCCTAGAGTGAACATACAAATGGTTCATGACAATCCAATCTGTAGACTTGAAAAGTAGAAATGTCTTAGAGCAATGGTCATGCATGGTGATTGGCAATTTTATGTCATTGGAACTCTTCCTCACACACTTGTGCTACATCTGTTACAATAGTATTCCTACAGGGGGCATGAAATGTGGCATTCAGCATTCATTTCTTGGAGTAATGTTGTTGCAACACACTAACACATTGTTACCCTTGTATTAAGTTATTTATCTTTCGAGTTTTAATACTCATTGCTGTCTTACTTTTGATTAATGGGTATGATATGTTTTTTAGTCTCTGCAATTATATTGAAATCTGTGTTCTGTGGTTGGCTAGTTGGAACTTTGGTTGTACTACTCCGAGAATGGTCTACTAACCTGGGTTTAAATACGTGTCAGAATTCATTAAGTAACAGTAGAACCCTCATTATAATATGTTTGGAGTTCCCTTTAGTTGTTTTTAATAGTAGAACCCTAAACAAATTCCTGCATTGGTAGTTAACTCTAAAATCAAACACAGCTGTTTATGCCAGTATATATTCAATCATGTATTCAAAAAGCATTCCACATGATCCACTCATCTCATACTCCTTGATTTCATAAGCTTAAAAATTTATGATGGTGCATACACATTATGAAGCTGTATATTATGCAGTTTTCTCCAGGTTCCTGTCACTCAACCTTCATAGTCCAATCATCCTCCTTTGTTCCCTATTCTAAAACTTCCTCATTTTGTGTTTTTCCCTTAATATTTGAGACAGTTTTACAACTGTATGAAAAAATAAATTATTTTACAGTTTCTTATATTTTAATAATTATGTTTTTAGATAGATGGGAAGACAACAAAATCTGAACTGCATTGTAGCAGGCTACTCTAAGTTAATCTGCTCGTAATTTCTTTATAAATACAATTTTGAATGTAAGGTTTGAGGTTTTCACAGCGGTGAGTATGAAGAATTCTGTCTTCTGGGTTGTTGTGCTGTGTAGTCTGGTCAATGTTAACTAACGTTTCAGAGGTCATACTGCCTCCGTCATCAGGCAGTATGACCTCTGAAACGTTGGTTATCATCGACCAGACTACACAGCACAACAACCCAGAAGACAGAATTCTTTACAATTTTGAATGTTTGTTATTCTTCCCGAATATTTTAATTTTACATTTTTAAGGACTGTATTAGCTTTGTTTACATTATGATTTTGTTCTGTAGTCAGTAGATTGCACATGAACATGTACTTTGTTTTCCCCTGTGTTTTCTTCTGGATCAGCTTCCATACTAGAATTTGATAGGTCTTGTGTGTTTTTCTTTATAGTATTTTTGTTTTTGCACAATAAATGAACATTACTGACGTAGTACAGAAGTTGACTTGTTTCTTTCAGTTCTAATCCTGCCTTGTTTGTCTTTGACTGTAATGGTTAAGAAATTTAAGAAACATGTTTGGAACTATGCATATAATAATAATTCTTGCATATTCTCTAGAATTTGACTCTTGACCTATGTGAATGGTGGCAGTGATGTCATAGATGTTGGGTGTATGACACTGCATTATTTGGGTTTCTGCATTCCACATTGGTGTTTATTGTAGGTACAAATGTATTATTGCAATGCCAACCATTTTACACAGCAGAAAATTATTTCAGTTTATTAAAACTTAGCAATGTAAGAAGGGTTTTACATTATGAACTAATATTTTATGTGATTGCTTTCTTTGAGGAAAATGATAAAAAGTTTGATTTGGGCTTCATAAATCAAAATGAAATGCACCAAGCAGTTTGAGTGCTAGTCTCCAGTAAAAGTAAGAGTAGAGTACAAAATATAAAAACCCGTTAAGTAGTTTTGAGGGTGAATAGTTAGATGACTTCTCCATTATGCGTTAATTTGATGAAAATGCAATGGTGATAAGATTTTTATCGTTTTACAGGCTTCTTATTTATAATTGATTGTTCCGTTTTATGTTTTCATTGACTTCAGTGATAACAACTCAGTTCTTTACGAGTGTGTGCATATATACGTACAGCACATACTTTAAGGGTAATCCATGGTGTTGAATACTACGCGACATACTTATTGTTAACGGTTTAAATACAATTTTGATATATTTAATACTACATGTCTAAACTGAGTGTTCTTGTTGGTAGATTTCTTTTGCCTTTGTATGGTTCGTAATGTTGGCAACGCTAGTATGCTGGTACTAGTTTGTAAAGATGACGGGGGATAATTTTGAATGGTTTAGAACCACAGTGATAAATATTTCATCCGATGATTTGAATAGAATACGGCTTTTATCGGAACTGAAGTTAGCATTTGGTGCACTAAATAATGTTCAACGGAATTCAGTTGTACACATTTTACAATTGGACCATATATTTGACTGCTTGAATTCATCAGAGACGTAAGATAATATTGTTTTCTTGGATGTAGTTTTATTCGAGTGCATATAGACTGTACTGAATAAGTACTTAAAGCATTGCGGTATCAGTATTGTGATCTCAGAATCTGCCCCTTTTGAAAAGGAAATAGGTTATGTTTACAGGTTTTATGTTTTGGATTTTTCTTTATAAGTGAGGAAATAACCAAACTTTCGAAAAATTCCCTGTTTGTTTAACAATATGATGCCACTTAGAGGGGCCATATAGCTTCGAAAGTGAAATGTGGTATAGACCTAGTTGATGGCGGTGTATGCGAGTAGGAGGAGATGTTGACTATTGTGTAATTTGCTATGGGAACTGAATGAAACACTTGCCATACTCTGTTCCTGTACAGGTTTTCAGTTCCTCCAATTGCATGATGACCATTATTTCATGGACTGTTCAAGAGATACTAGATTAATTTATTATTTTAATTTCACAGAGAACAGGTTGAACTGACATGTGAAGTGTTGTCTCTGCTGTTATCAGCCCTAGAACCAAGTCTTATATTTGGGCAGTATGAGGAGGCAATGTGTAGAGCTCTTGGCCACCCTGCACCATGTGTCAAACAGTTTGTCATTAATGAGGCAAGTATGGTGTCATGTGTCATCAGAATGGGAAATAATTTCCAGTATTTAGCTACAAACCTCAGCTCTTTTATATTCTGTGAAGATTATGTTTTATTGTGATGAATTTGAACCATAGGCATAACAAGGTGCACTAAGACTCTTTTTAATTTGTTGTAGAATGGTAAACATGAAGAATTAGCTTGTGTCAAGGATGTGACAAGGCTCCAGAAATAGTACTAAAATGTACCGGCCACTTCATAGTCTTCAGTAACAGAAAGTTATATTATTTAACTTAAGTTATTTGGAGTATGTCAATTGCCATGGACTTGTCTGAATCTTTTTCTTCCTTTTTTTTGGGGGGGGGGGGGGTTGTTATGTTCTAAGTAGAAGCAGAATCCCTTTGGATCTTGTTGAATGCAAGTTAGCATAGGTTGTCAGTATGCAGAATATTAGTTTTTGTGCTGGAAACTGATTGAGAGTGCTGCCCACAGATACAGCGTGCTGTGAGTCATGGTGACCTTATGCAGCTACTCAGTCAACAGGAGGAGGCGATCCTGCTGTCTGTAGTTGCTTGCATCTATCATGATGACATGTCTGTTGCCACTAGTGCCGTGTCTTTGTTGGTGCGGCTGGGATCCTCTTCAGTAGGACTCGGCATGCTGTACACTACACCCATGGTGCAAGCCCTCAAGGAGGCCATGATGCAGCAAGACATCATCCGCTTTAGAGTGTATGAGGTAAAGTCAGCTGTGAATTAGTTTGTTAAAACTGTTTGTGCTTATGTTAGCCATTGCTCATGTATCGTACAAGTATTATGAGCAAGTGGTTGAATTATCTGAGTGGAGCAGGTGTTTCCAGCCGGACTTATACGGAAACCTCATTTTGTTCTGACCCTTCTCCCCACTCATTCCTTATTTGCCTTCCAAGGTAACATGCTTGTACAGTATTTTTCCCATATTTAGTCATGATTTTATATTTTTTTCAGGTTTGAATTTTGTGAAATGATGGGATAGGACAGAATCTAAAGAAATAGGTTGGGTAGGTGTGAGGTGGTGAAAGATGGGGTTTTGCCATTACATCAGTGTATGTAGAGGTTCTGTAACAAAATTTATCAAACAGCTGAAGACCTATTAACTGCTCAAGGAAGACTTGTACATCAAAGTTACGGTTGGCTGCTTTCTGTGTTCAGGTTGTGACTGATGTAGCGGTGCACTCAGATGCTGGTCTACAGGCTGGACATGTCAGTGGTTTGCTCCCTGCTCTTATAGCTGAGCTGCACAGCTCAGACATCCTGCTACAGATGAATGTTCTATCGCTGCTGACAAAGCTGGCCCTGTGCGAGCATGGCTTTCAGTACCTGCAGCAGCATGGCATTTTGAATGCACTCGCCAACAAGGTGACAGCTGTCAGTGAGGATCCACTTGCCTCTCTCATGCTGCCAGGTACATCTGTGTATTTGCATGTTGCTCTTATTCATTACATGCTGTGTTGCATATGAAGCAGTCTCTGCTATCAGTAGTTCTCTTGCAAAATTTTCAGTCAGTTAGTGCTGTAAGTCAATCAAGAGCTAGTGTAATGTCTACATGGATTACTGTCTTTGTTGCAGGATTGATAAAGTTTTTTGGTAATATGGCACAGTCATGGCCGAAGGAGGTATTTGCGGAGTACCCCAGAGTGGTTATGGCTTTGTTTGAAACTTTTGACAACCCTGATCTTGTGTTACTTGGAGTTGCGATGGAGACTGTTGGTTATATTGGTACCACCGTTGAGGGGAAGTACATGTTGGAGAGCCTAGGTATGTCACTTTTTTCCAGTTGTAAGGCTCTTGTCTGTTTGGCATTTTGTGTTTCATGTTTGGAGCTGACTTCTAATTGCACAGTAATATTGACAAACTATTCTGATCCTAATTTTGGCAATGTCTTCTGAAGAGGTTGAACAGAGCTCCAGAAATACACTTAATACTGGCAAGTTAATGGGGACTGATGGTGAGTACATTTCAACTTCAGTCTGCATATATTCAGATTTATTTATTACCTAGGGCAGACTGAAGAATTAATGAATGCATACTTTTGTTTCTAATATTGACATCTTATGTTGAATTTTTCAATATTCTATATAGATATATTTGTATCAAGCAGGTTGTGAAACTGTAGTGAGTAGATTTTAAGTTTCTGGGGCTGTGACTTCATAGTCTTATATGTAGATGCACAATAAAAGTCAGTATGATTTTGTTATTTATTGGTTTAAAAGTCGCACAAGTTGTGCCCAAAACTTACATCCAATACAAAAGTTTAATTTATAATATTGTAATATTGTAATTGTAAAATTAATATTATGTGGGAGACCTAGCCATTGAAGGACAGATAATATTAATCTGGTTGGATATAGATTATGGGAGTGTGGACTGTACTAAACAGGCTCATAATAAAGGGTGTGGTGGCTGGCTTTTGCAAGACAGGTCTTGACCAGCTTAATAAAATTAGACTCCTGTCTCTTTCAGGTGACACTATGAGCCATACGATGAAGAAGTTGGCACACAAGATTACAAATTTGCCCACAGTGTTAAGGGTACGTGCTCTGAACACTGTTGCCAACCTCTTGGAGCTGAAGGTAATGCTTCAGTCAAGTAACCAACCCTTGATTTGCCTATTGAGATGCTGTTTCTGCTCACTGTCATGAAATATATATCTTGGCTGGACCTGTGCCATTGAGTGTTCTGGAATTGTCTCTGCAGCACTACTACTAACATTGGCAACATGAAGCTTACAGGTTATCTCAATCTGCTGCTGATACTTTGTCACAATTATCCAATGTGTCATAATTGTTTGCCATAGCTTAGGAATGGGCAACTTTGAATGTACAGAATGAAACTTATTTAATTTATGAGAATGTCCTAGGAAGATGCAAGTGTAGATTTTTGTAGCTCACATTTACTTCATGTGGCTTCAATCTTCTTTACAAAGCTTATAGATACCAACAACCATGACTTATCTTCTGAAGAATGTACAAAAATTCAGAAAATATTGACTTACTAGGGTCTACAAGTGTTTCCTCAAATATTGTTTGATTGTATGTTTGCATAACAATCATTCAGTGAAATTTCTGCCAGGGTGGTGCCTCAGATGGTATTATAAGCATGTGTCTCATGTCTGTGGTCCTCTCCATGAAGGTGGTACAATATTTGTGTCAGAGGTGTGTTCCACAGGTTTCAGATCAAGACACACAGTCACTGACCCTTACAAGGTCTTGGTTTGAGCAGTTGGCACCCAACCCCATGGAGCTGGTAATGTCAGTATGCCGTCAGCCATTCACTGAGCTGCGGTTGGCAGGCCTGCAAGTTCTGCAGGTTTTGGCAGAGCAGCCATGGGGTCAGGAAAGCATCAATGATACTCCAGGTAGTAATTCATTATCATCACACATAAATTTTTCTTGTATCTCCATGAGGTTTTTCTGAGCAGTAGAGAGACCTATCAGTCTCAGCAAGCCCATTTTAGCCTTTGAAAGCTATTTTATATGAAGGATATTGTGACGTGGCGTCATAAGAGCCGAAGGCTAGCACTGGAGAGGAGGGGCCACCTAACTCCCCTCCCCGCTCTGGTGTGGCGCCTAGGGCTGAGAGTGGATCGTGTGTGTGTGTGTGTGTGTGTGTGTGAAGAGCACTGGGTTCGTGGACTGTGGTGGCTGAGGAACCAGCATGCTGAGGGCCGAAGGCTGTATGTGGAGAGCACCAAGCTTGGGGGACTAGGATGGCTTGAAGGACAGTGCATGTGATCTAAAGAGAGAGTGTGTGTGTCATGTGTAGAGACAGAGACCCAAAAACTGAATTAGGAGAGTTGCCTGTATGTGTAGACTCTGTAAACTGATTTATTCCCAATAAATCAAGGTTGACATAGAGCCCAAGCAATAGTCGATCTGATTTTATCTGATTGATATATCTGAATTCCATTTGAAACATGTGATTCAGATAATATTAAATGTAATATTTTTAAAACTGATGTTTAAGTAAAATTGCCAAAGGTTTTAAAGTATTTTTACTTTAACTTTATTAAGAATTTTGAATACTACATTTCCTAAAAGTGCTTGAGTCCAGCTTTAGAGTACATGTAAAATAGTAGCCCAAACAGGCCATGGTGGTTTGAGGGTATATTTTGGATTTGGATTTTATTAAGTAATTCCAACATTGACTTTTGTCAAAATCTGTTATAGTGTGGAAATTCTGTCACAGTCTATATTTTGACTTGTATGTGTAATGTGGTTGTCCAAAGTAGCCAGTATAATTTACAAATTTTTATTTATTACAGATTCACAAATTTTATTTTAGTAAACAGAAATTTCTTGTGGCATGATCTTTATACTAAGTTTCATGAGAATTGGTCAGTTAATTAAATGTTTACTGAGTGGACATACACAGAGTATAAGAAAATGGTGCATTGTTATAAAGCAACATGTTTCAGGTTTGATCGAGTTCCTGCTGGATCGAGCAATTGAGACAAACAAGCTCTGTAAGGATGCAAAGTTTGAAGTAGTGAAGATAATAGCAGAGTCCCCAACAGCTGCCACCTCATTTGGAAATGTCACATTATTGCGGTTCCGTGAGTTTATGCACGAAGGCCCATTCTATGTGCAAGCACAGACGGAGGTGGCCATAGAGGGTGCCTCATGATGTGCCTCAACGTTGAGTGTGTATGTGTCATTGTAAAGAAATGTATAGAATATATTAAAAATGCGATTCATATCATATCCTGCCATGGTTCTTGCTTCCATGCTTCCTACCATACTCTCCATGCCAAACACTTTTATTGCCTGGGAAAGTGTCACACACTAAACTTGAAATTATTTTACTTTAAATCTAATAAAGGCAGGTGGCTTGAACACACCGTTTCCTCATCCCCATACTTATCAGCTTCACATATTCTGTACAAAATCTCACTTTATTGCAGAGTTATTGGTAGTAACAAGCACAAATTACATACATCTTGTAATGTGTTTGGGAACATGTATTAATGAGTATGGAGTATGTGGTTGTATGATATCGATTGGTTGTTCTTGTTACCTTGATTAAATGTTTTCAGTCCTGGTCTAACGATTATAGAAACATTCAGGTCTAATCCACAAAATGCCATTCTGTTGTATCACATTTTTAGATTATTTTCATACTTTTTAATCCATGTCAGTTTGTAATTTCTTCGTACAAGGTAAGTACAGAACACATTGGCATAGAAAGCAAGGAGTTGTGTATCATTTGATACTGAACACAGTCTTATTGAACTGATATAGCTGATAGACGCTCAGCTGATATAATGTAAAAACATATTAGATTTACATAATATACATATACGCTTAAAGGGTGCCATCATGTTTTAATTGTATTGCTCGCTTATTATACGGGGATCATTAATACATATAAAACATTGTGGCTGATGCTTTGAGCACTATTATTGATGTGCTGGCCATCAGCAAGTTGTTGCCCTCATGTTTGTTCTGCTTCTTCATGCAGTGAGGTCTCAGTTTGGTTTTGTGTGATTCAAACACTGTCATTCTCATTGGGATTTCTTCCGTCTTTCTGGTGCCACAATTTTCAGCAGTGAAACCATGGGAGCCTCGAATGCTAGTGATACGATAAACGACAGGATGTATGATGCCGTGACTTGTCCAAAGAAGATGATTGTCTGAAAGTGATGGAACAGACTTTGTTATCCTGGAAGTGCAGGGCCCCAGCATTAGCCTTCCCCATAGCCAATTGTAATGCAACTTTTCAGTTTTGGTTTATATTTAGCTTTTTTGTGGACACTATTACTTTGAGTATAGTAAGTTTTTCAACTATCAGCTGAGTTAAAGAAGAAAATTATCTGTACGTCTCCTATGAGAGATAATTTTCAAGTAGATGGCAGCATCTTTTGGCTATGTATTTACTAATTTTTCATATTGCTATTTGAATACAGTATTTAATGTATAATGAAAATTCTGATTATCCATGACTTGATCAATTGTAAAACAACTTAATGTAAATGGTAATTGGTGCCTTATCTATGCGCATTCACATGCAAGTAAATGATTTTCCCCATCATTGCCACAGATAATTGTGGTTCTAATGTATAAAATGTTGATGAATTCTGTGTTTTGAGGGTGCAAACTCAGAAAAGAAAGAACTTTTTACTTACTATAGTCTCCAGACTGAGGTGCATGGGGCTGTCTAATCGCATAACCATGAGTCTTATCATAATTGGGTGCACAAGGTAGGCACAGTATGTCACCCTGCTAAACGGGTATAAGAATGATGCTGATAGTAGCTTGTTCACATAACCTGGAAGGATAAAATTGACTGCTAATGGTAAAACAAGTTTGAGAGCTGCATGAAAAGCTTGGAAGTTTCATCTGAAACCACCCTAACATTGTTCATGTAATTACAAGGGCTGTAAAAGTGACTGTTTTCTGCACTAAAATATTCATATATGATGTCATATCAGTGTTGGGCAGAAACCAACTTTTCAGAGAGTTGCTCTGTGGGAGTCGCCCCAAGTGGATATATGTAAAACCTAAGTTTTATATTCCGACATGTAAGGTGTTAACACATTTGGGGACATTTTGTACAGTCCTAGCTGAAGCTTTATATAGTTAATGTTTTATTTTTCTCAGTGTAAAGTTTTCTGATTTACCAAAATTTTAGTTTGAAACTTCAGTTCCTGCATCTATTTTTATTTATAAAGAAGAAAAGTAGGTTAAAAAATGGCTCTTCCCATTACTTTGATATACAGGTCATTCTACTAGCTGCACTTGTTTTGCAACAGAGTGCAACATCTGTATCTAGCCCAGTAATTGAGATTTCTGCAGTGAATGTCATATCAGCTCTGACCTCCATGTCCAGTAGAACATGCAATGACAATCCAGGAAAGTCCAATAGCCCAGACTGAGTGGCTGAGTGATGAGTAGGCTGCTGCAGGTACATGCTCCAGCTTTGTATTGTACAGCCCATACACTAGTGCCAAGAGGCACCCAATACATAGTGACCAGCCTAGCACTACAGCCACCTGTATCAAAAATATATTATATTCACATATACACCAGGATTATGGGCACCTGTAATGAAATTCTGGTATAGTTGCACTCTCATTGTATGTATACAATAGAATGCCAGATTGTGGGCATTTATATTATATTTATAATATACCCTTACCTAATCAGAAACATGAGCACTGTTACATAGTTATAGTATAGCTTCTAGGACCAAGGGCAACAGTATTATAATTACTCTGTAGCAAAAAATGTGTGACTGATAGCATGTGGAAAATAGTTACTCTGTAGCTCTAAGAACTATTTATGATAGAAGTAAGAGAACAAACCTGGAATTAGGAATATATAATACAATGGGACAAAGCAGAAATTATCTGCAAAGAAGAAAATAGGATCACTAGCTCCATATATATGCCTCCTTTCTTCTAAAAGATAGTAAATAGCCATTTGTATGTAAATAGGGTTATAACAGCTGTTCCTAGGCTTCCCCAGTGGTGTAGTAGTTAGCATAGTAACCTAACATTTTAGTGTCCTGGGTTCAGTCCCAGCAGTCACCACATACTAAAATAAAACAGTAGTATCAAATCTGTGTGTAACAACCACCAGTCACACAAAGACAGGAGTAAAATGAACTTCAAAAGTTGTGTATGTTAAATATACTTTAGACAATAAGTGATTTCCAGCATGATTTTGTATAATCTTAAATGAGAAATGTAACTACATTAAAAAATGAAATTCCGACTGAACAGGTGGGGCTGAAACAGCCACATCAACTACACACACCTTGCTCATCTTGATCTTACAGTCCGTCTTGTACAGAATCCAGCCCACTATCATGCCTATGAGGTATGGTCCAAGGCGAGTCCATGGTTTGTCATAGATCTTATCGAACACAGCCAATGGGTCATCCACGCTGTAACATCAAAAATTCTAACTGGTACCCTGATTGAGCAGCTTGTCTTAAATTTTAGTGTTCCTTGCCTTATTTAATCTTAGGACATGTATGTTTAACATCTTTGCCGTTTTAAATCTGTTTCTTGATCAGTGAATCGGCTTTCCAAGAGAAACTCTGCAGCAATAACAATGGTGTGTCATACCTTGGGTTGTGCCTGTTGTCATAGGCAATGAATGCAGTGGTGCACCAGCTGCTGATGAGGAATATAATTGTGAGTGCAGCCGCCGCACGGAAATAGCTGCAACACGAAGGCAAGTGTGTAACCATGCTGCTAGTTCCTCAGAGGCTTGTTTGAGGCATTACTGTATGGTACTTACCTGATGGCAAGGATGAGGAGTGCACAGCCTAGCACATAGAACTGTGTGTCATCTGCCAGATACCAACTCCACAACATGCACTACAACAGAATCAAATGTCAATTCTAGAAAATGGACTTTCCCACAGACATTATAATGCCTTAACCTTTGAAGTATCACTAGTTGTCCTGTTATAAATGTACAGTGACTTAATATTCCATCTTCACTACTCCTCACTCATCTCCAATTGTGCTTTTTGTTGTTTTGTGTATTTCATTGGTCTTGACATTTATTTATTGTAGAAACAGAAATTGATACTTGCTGAGTGAATCACAGTGCAGGTATAACATTCCAGTCAAATTATTTTTACTTACATTCTGTTAAATGTTTACCATACCGAAAAGTGTTTCAAATAAAAGTTGTGTAAGTCTTCATGAGGTGTATATTTTACATAGGTACAAATTTTTTGTATAGTGACCCATTTTTGAAAACAATGTTTGAGTTTTAAGTTTTACAACAGTGATAGTAACAAAAATTAAATCCACATGACAGCATTTTAGTATATATATGTTCACTTCATGCAGAATGTGCATAATAAGTACATCTTTCAATACTTTAAAATCTGAATGTTTATTACCATGTTCACAAGAGCCAACCATTGGTCCATATCCTGATCAAGTAGAATTCATTCCTCATCTTCCCACCCTATTTCCTTGAGGTCAGTTTTAAAATTGTCTTCCCATATACATGTAAGTCAGTGATTTCACTTTTAAATAAATTGGGATTGTTATAAGAATGGGCTCTAATAGGATTCCAGAAAGACAGAACGTATCAAGCCAGAGGAAGATTTTCAAAAGAAGGAAACATTCTGTTTCAAGCAGAATGATGTGATGCTGGCAACAATGATGATAATGATGATGACATTTACAGTTTTGTATGTGTTATATATATCTTGGTAACTGAGGGAGTTGATTTCAGGCTGATAATGATGATGACATTTACAGTTTTTATGTGTTATATATATCTTGGTAACTGTGGGAGTTGATTTCAGGTAAGACCTGGTGACTCACCATGTCCTTAACAGGGAACAGGGTGTTGATGTACAGAGCATTCCTCCACCAGTAGTTGGGGCAGCTAACATGATCTGCAGTAGGTGACTCGAATACCGAGTTATAGTAGAACCACTTCATAGTCACTTCCACAATACCGAGCACAAACAGGTAGGGCACGGTCAGTCTGCAATGTGGAGTGTTTCTTGTTTAACCAGGTTAAGTACAAGGTTTGCTGACGCATGCTTCAATATCCTTTATTGATTCAATCATATACAAACAAGTGAATGGTTGTCATTATACTGAAAATTTTGTTCCTTTGGGTTCTAGGCTACCAGACCTTTGTGGCAAATCTAGATCCTGTTTCTCAGAATCCAATGCATTGTTGGTGTTCAAGAAAAGTAACTTCTAGGTTGACTTCCATTGAATTTTGATTTACTGAAATGCACACATATCTCCAATTTTATACAGGACATATTTCTGAGATTACTATGAACATGTGTATGTACTCTTACAGAATTGTGTGTTATTCTTTTCACAGATTTTACACATCCACTTATATTATGTCACTTATTTTTCTTCTGGGAAACATAGATATGTGAGAAGTGAAAGAAAAGGTGATAAACTTCATGAAGTGTTGCTTGTACAAGAGTGATGTGTGAGCTGAGGTGGACCATCACATAATTTGTGAGTTACGTGCTGAGAAGCTATGGATTGCTCTTGAAAATGTACTAGACCATCACATAATTTGTGAGTTACGTGTTGAGAAGCTATGGATTGCTCTTGGAAATGTACTGCAAGCAACTTCAAAGAAAATTCCTGATAATTTGTTGATGGGTACCTGAGTGTGAGTATCAGATTTGTAAACAGGAATGGATGCCTGTATTAGTTTCTTACATGAAGTCATGATAACTCTGTGGCTAATGTGATTGGTTATGAACTAGATGTTTCAGGGAGAAATACTGGGATTTCTTCTGTCCACCATCATTATCAGAACAGTTTCTTCTTGCATGTCAAATGGCCAGAGCATGAAGGTGAACATTTATCTCCATCTAATCTCAAGGTCTAGAGTGTCTAGAGGTTTGTTTCTTACCTGCCATAGCGGTAGACCATGAGCCCCAGGTACTGTAGTGCGCTGCTCTGGAAGCCAGTACTGCGTGTCAGCTGCTTCATGTCAATTTTGGCCACTGTACGGAAGTACAGGAATGACACCAGCAGCCCACTGGAATACAGCACAACAAAAATAATGCCTCGAGTCATGAGTGTGGCTGTTATGTCCCATGCTCCAGTTTTTCTGCCACTGCTTGCCATGGCAGTGATGGAGGTTGTATTTCTCAGGTTGGGGCACCTATCAGGACCTACTGCTTGCAGTGGTAGAATGATTATTGAGAAAGGGACTTTCAGTTAATGCAGACTTAGAACAGTAGAATTGGCCTTAGATTGTTCACATTAGAAATATTTATTTTCTGTCAGAGTGAAGAAAATGAAATACATGCAGAAAAATCTGACACTGTATCCAGCCAGTTTAAAACCTGAGACCTTCAGAACCACCAGATCCATCTGTCTAATAGTGTTGCAAAGAGTTCTCCATATTTCCCAACCTTTGGCCTGGATTTCTGCCTCATTCCATTATCTTTTCTGTATTGCATGTTCTGAACACTCTCTTCATGCATTTTTGAGTCTGCAGATCTTCCTGTCTTGTATTAAATTATTTTATGTTTTTGGTTAGATGGTTTTAAATGTGTCCGAGGCATACTCTGCATTGTTGTGGTTGCAATACATCATGGCTTGAAACAAGTTGGGCCTTTATACATAGTCTTTATTGGTTTATAAACATTTTATATCAACTGCAGAGGTTGTAAGACTTGAGGTTCTCACAGCGGTGAGTATGAAGATATCCGTCTTCTGGGTTATTGCGCTGTGTAGTCTGGTCGATGTTAACCAACGTTTCAGAGGTCATACTGCCTCCGTCATCAGGGCGATGACGGAGGCAGTATGACCTCTGAAACGTTGGTTAACATCGACCAGACTACACAGCGCAATAACCCAGAAGACGGATATCAACTGCAGAGGTTATTTACTGTTGTTTGGCATGATGAAATGACCGTGTAAAATTGTAAATGAGAGAGTTGTGGCCTATTTTATGATATAATTCCAGTGTTGTGGCATTTGATGATGAAAGGGATATTCAAGATTTTTGACTGCGATCAAGACTTTTGTTTCAGCAGTTAATCTTTGTTATGTGGGCACAGGGAATTTAAATCCTTGTACTCTGGGGCAGGTTTTATGACTGGGTTTAACAGTTTAGCAGTATACTAGTATGACATGCAGGTTAACGGATTGCTCACCTAATGAAGAAGAATGTGTCCACAGAGTAGGCACCATTATTTATTGTCTGGAACAGGAATTCCTTTTCTACGATATTCCGGTACTCCATGTTGTCTGCAATCATGTATTGTTACCATAACTGCTAATATTATGTTATCATCCTCCACCCAACATTTTATATACATTTTCTGTAGTCACTGTCTGCTACATGCCCAGTCAATTTCACCTTTATTTATACTGTCAGCTTCTTTATTGACCACCACAGGATGTTTGCATGTTTAGATGATGTTAGCTATGTTGGTAGTTGTGAAATGTTACTGGATTAGTCAAAATAATTTATTTCTGTGAGAATGGATGTAGTATGTCTAAAGCAAAGTTTTATGATTATTGTGTGGAATTTACTATGAAGTCTGTGAACTGACTTTGTGTATGTATTATGAGAAAATAAAACAAAAGAGCATGTTTATGTATTAATCATTCTAACAATATTTATATGATATTAATATGTATAAAAATGTAATCACTACCATTATTTTGATAACTGTTCAACGTGATCCAACATTCTGATGGAAGAACAGAGATTAAAGCTGTCAGTGGAAAGTCTAATTGTAAGAAGAGGAAGTGGCTCTGATACTGAACCTCTGGATTGCATTACTGTCTCCAACCTGAATACTTGAAGATGACGATGCATGTGTGACCTAGAATCACCCAGCCCATGCTGATACTGCGCAGCCCATGAATCGTGGGGATGGTGTCACTGCCCACGCTCTGATCACATATTGTCAGTACATTCCGTCGCACTGAGAATGCAAGTATGATCTGGGACACCAGACCTGCAGCAATATTAACGATGAGAACAGTCGGTGCCATCCCTGTTTGGATTTGGTCAGATAAAAGTAACAAGGCTGGAAATGTATACTGCAGTAGTACACTGAGTTTCCAGATGGATTCTTTGCAGGTAAACATCTAACCTTATATCTGGTTAGATATACATCATATAAAGAAATGTTATAATTAATGATTACAGATCACAGTGAACTGTATATTTTATATTACCTCTCTATTCATTTTTACAGGGAGGGAAGAAATCAGACATTTTTTCAGAAATGTAAAAGATGTGATATCATTTTATTTCAAATTAATGTTATTATGGACTTTTAAGGACCATAATGAAGTGTACATGTCTGGGGACAACACAAGCTGTAGTTATAGTGGTTTTGGGAAGTTTTTTACATACTGAGGCAAATGTTATAGATTAGATGCTTTTAGTGAACATATCTTGATAAAGTTTTATACTGATAAATGTTTTTAAGGCTTAGACCTACATAAGGTTTTATGTTTATCTTGTTAAATGTGCAACTGTCGTAGAATTTAACCTTTATCATGCAGTAATGGGTGATGCTGGTTGGATTTTAACTCCTGGATAGCAGTTTCCTAGTGTAACACACAGCCATCTAAACTCTATGCAAGCTACGCTGCACAGAGGATAAGGGTTAGTGACAAAAAGTTATTTGTGTACAGCCAATCCAATGTGCTGAGCTTCAGAACATGGTCTGATGTATTTCAGAAGAGTGATGTACCTTGCTTCTCGGAAGTATCAGAATCATTGGATGCAGTGTTAATGCTCTCGTTCAGTGTCCCCAGACTGCCCTCTAGGCCTGAAACATGCAAGACAGCATGAATAAGACCTGACAAAGGAGCATCCATAGCCTGTTCTAGCACAGAACCCCTGAAACATGCAAGACAGCATGAATAACAAGTGACAAAGGAGCATCCATGGCCTGTTCTAGCACAAAATGACATATGAACAAACAAAAACTGAATGTTCTTAGTTAAATCCAGAAATTATATTACTGCTTATGTAAATGTTGGCTTCATCACAGACATTAAAGGGATGGGAGACTTACCCAACACAGCTTCATAGTCAGGACAGACAATCCACTATCTGAGGTACCTCTAATACAAGTTGCAGCAGAGATATGGGGTAATGAATGAAACACTGCAAGGCAAATGCACTAAAAAGTCACATTCTTAATAGATTTTTATTTTGTTCATTAAGAGTATTTGAACATCTCAAGTAAGAATTCCTTAAATTTATGGAGGTTTAAACAGTATAAACAGTATTGCTACTGCAGTTGGTCCCTCTGCAGTCACAACTGGAGCCTAACCAAACACATGGTTACAATAACAGAGTAGCTAATATATTATTTTGAAAACACCTCAACTGCCAAGTGAATTTTCATGCAATTTGATATTTTTATTAAAATTTGTTTACACATTCTGCTTACTGTTAAAATCAGGCACAATAATGCTCACTTTACATGAATGCACATATTTGAAAACAAAGTGGCAAGAAGATATTTGGGCCTAATGCAATAAACTTTGTATTAATATGGTTACAATTGAAGGATGTTAGGATAGACTGGATGTCTATTACATATGTTAGAAACAAGACATGTATAATGGAGTAGAATTTGACAAAGGATGCTCTTGGAAAATTTAGAGGAGATGCAGGAATTGTACAAAATGAAACTTACACAGATGAGTTGTAGCAAAGTGACCAGAATTCAGCCGTTATAGATTTGAGGTCCAATGGAAGAAGTTTGTGACCTTGGAGTTGTATTACATCACAATATTTTGACAACGTAGTCTGTCAGTGACCTACCATGGTTTATTACTCCCTCAGTAGGGCTGGATGTGGCTGTCTGCATGAAGTTGTCAACGGCCAGCTTGATGGATCTCTCACCAAGGTGTGGGGGCAAAGCCCGCGTAATTTCATATGTGTAGTTTTCACTGAAGAAGTGGCGGTTCTGGTGCACCAAGTAGAGGTCATAGACTGTCCCCAGAGCCATGAACCCGAAGACAAGAACTGAAACTGCGCTGCAACATCATTGACATCTTACAACTGTGTGTGACCAGCTAAACTGCTGCAGCTTCAATTATTCCTTCCAAGAGGGATTATTCTGCCAAAGAGGAAGAAGGGTTATGCCCTGGAACTCCAAAGATGCTGCCTTGAAAAAAGATGCATGTTTGTGTTTATTTGCACAGCAATCTAAGCCTTACATTAGGGTAGGGTCATTATATGAACATACCAAAATTTTGCACAACACAAGATATGCTGCGTCATGGTCTTTGTTATTTTGAGAGGGAAGAAGTCATCATAACAGTGGACATCCAGCAAGTAGGAACTAGGAGCTGTGTACTTACAAGAGTATCCAAAAAGTACGATCTTGCCACATTATGTAGCTGTCGTGTGGTGATCGGACTTTCACAATCTGTATGGATTGTGGCTCTGTCTCATCTCGGACTGACAACTCCAGCAGTTGACGGACATCTTGCTTGTTGCAGGATAAGGGCAGGCACAGACCGAGCAGGATCCAGCGGTCCTGTGACACAGTATTTGCCCCTCTAGAATAGATTGCTGAGCAGTGCTTAGTGAAATGGTACATGGACTGTATCTGTGGCTCAGTCGTGTCTTGAAAGTACGTCCTTTACATCCTTGATTGGCGATTTACTTAATAAGACTTTACTTTGCAGTCGTTGCAAGGCAGAATACTACTCATTTAGAATAATAAATGTAAATATTTTGATCAGCCGAGTGAACTATTAACTGTTTACAGTATCTTTGTATGAGAGGAACATTACAGTACAGTGTGTAAAGAAAATGTGACAACGTGGAATTTCTACCTTCCCTATTACGTGACAGAAACATCCATTCTCTAAAAACATTGTGTTTGAAAAACATGACTGCAAGCAATATTCAAAATAATTATTATATTTCTACTTAATGTTTCTGAGAAATGGCTCATTAAGGTCAGTAATTTCTAAATTATGATGTGTATTTAATGATATACAGACTGCTCCATTTCAAATGCAACCCTAACTATGGCTTTAGTTGTACTTGATGACATCAGTATAACAAGATAAATGGATTGTTTTTTAGCAGCTTTTTAACGTTGCGGAGTAACCACGCATGTCAACAGTGCTCAACATTGGACATGTTTCCTGGCAGAAAAACATCCTGTGCCCAGAAATTTTGTTACTAGTTGGTGTGTTATTTACCTTTGGTACTTCTTGTCAGCAATCAGAGTGACCTTGACTTGAGTGTCATGGGGGAGGTAGAAAGAGTCTTACAGGAGGACTGAACCTGCTTATGAGTAAATTCTTGTGCCATTGTTGGGTTGCGCTGTAAATTGTAAGCTGCCCCTTATGCAAGGCAAAGTTTTGACATTTCTGACACGTATATAATTTGTACTTACGTTGGGAGCAATGTCGTGCGGGAGACTTATCTGTAGTCGCACTGTATAGAAGCCAAGTCTGAACGGTGGGGCATCCGTTTGTGTGGCATTGGAGTCGAGTTGATAGCAAAGGGATTCTGACCCGGTCCAGTAGTTATTGCCCCAGAAGAAGCTCGACGTGTAGCGGCCACTGGCATCGGCCACTGCAAGTATATCACATTGGCGGAGCGTTTATGTCAGCCGAGTTAGCACGCTTAACACTTTGAAAAATAGTCTTCTGTCTTACTTTCATGGTTCGGTGTTACTTCATACATTGGTATAGCAGAAAACTCGCGGCGAGCATAAGCTTTAAGTAGCTGGCTGACTCTGTATTTTATCTGATTGATTCTGCTGTGTTTCAGTGTATGCAATACTACTGAACCACGAAAGTATGACAAGTCTCATATTTTGGGTTTTTCAGAATGTTGGGTGTGCTAACACGATTAATAATCACTGCGTCCCTGCCTATAGATATTTATTTACCTTCAAGCCTACACAGCGTTAGAACCCAGAAGACAGTCACTTTACAAATTAATTCATTTAAACATTCTAAACCATTTTAGTTAAATGAATTAATTTCCCTGTTGCCACTGATGATGACCTCTTGAGGTTGAAAGTGTTAATAGTTTGTTTGTTTGCTTATTTTATATTCCGAGCTTGTATGTCGGTTGGGGCATCATCTTTCTGAAATTCTGAAACCCGAGGGCGAAAAGAGATAATCCCTTGAAACTGGCATTAACAGCCCTTTCCCGTGTAACTGTGAGGATAGCCGCGGTTACGTAACGCTGTCAGAACTTTCTCGCTAAGTGAGGACGCTGAGAGGTCGCGCGTTGCGCAATCGGCGGTCGGAGAAAGTTAATCGAGAAAGGTTTAAAAAAAAAGAGAAGGAATTGTACTGCATCGCAGTTCTGACATTCGTTGAAAGTTATCTAAATGCGAGGCTTGCGCAAGTTTCGTGCGTTCAACATTTCTGGGAATATTTCAGTGAAAATTGTTGTGCATGTTAGGTTGGCAATGGGCAAAAGTAATTTTCAGAGAAATGTGTGAATTATATTTTGGTAACCCTGTCACTAGCTACCTACGTATTGACTAGCCGACTGACTTATTGGCTTTACTTCCTTGACAGTGTATTTTGAGCGTGCAGCGTTAAAATACAGGTCTCCTGCTGTGATTGTTAGACTGGGAATGCCCCGTAATACCGAGTTTTGTTTCTTGCAGCTGAACAGTCAAATTCAGTAGGTCTAAGTAGCAACCAATGATACGCTATAGTGTTACTAACACAATGATTATTAGTTGTGACACGTTGCATACAGAATTTTGCAACTTATTTGTTATAATTATCGCCTCCTTACCTTGTCCTCGTTTTTATGTACTCCGTTTACATTCTGAACGAATAACCAAGCAAATTAATGACATCTTCCTTCAGTAGCAGATATGTTTTTAATTCCTGCGTATCTCATGTTGGTAATCTGTGATTACTACAATAACAAAAGCCCCTATGCTGTGCGTACCAGGTGCTCTGTTTCGTGGGGGTAAAGCGGCCGGTACGTGAAGCTGACCACTCATCTCCATACAGTGCTGAAGCTATACCTCCACTCACCCAACTTTGTCATGACATGGTGCCTAATTAATCATAATTACAGCTTTGCCTCTATTACTTTACAATTTGTGAACTCCAGGTTTGGTAAGGGATTGGCAACACTGAGCATCGTCGACCCTGTTTTTTTCACATTACAAATGAGTTTTTTTGGTTCGCGTAACAAGTTTAAGTATTTACGCATTTTTCGTTGTGAAACTTCGTTAAAATACATCTGCCGAGGATCGAATTCCAATCAGTCTGCAGTCCAAACTATCGTGTACAGACAAAATTCTACGTAATCTTAGTTTCTTTAGTGCCATACAGTACATTATTAACTGTTGTATCAATTACACAAGGCCTTTGTTGAAGTGCTCTTGAATGAGAGTAAATATTGAGCAATTTCTTTCCTAAACTGACAACTAGGCTAATGAGCTTGTTCAGACCAAGGCAGATTACCTAATTTTCAGGCTTGGCAAGTTGGTCTTCACGTAAAAATACGTTCCAGTGCACCTTGTAAGCATAGATAATTTGTTCTTACGAAAACAATTGAACGGAGACGCGCGGGCGTTTGACACCAGGAAGACGAATGCCAATAAAACTCTCATACATGACACTTTATTGCGTCCTTCTGACCGTGGAACACAACCAAAACCTCCTTTGACCAACCTTGTTACTACACATTTGCAAGTATCTGCTTCGAATTATGACAGTCCCTGTTCGAATCTCAGCATACAGACGAATCATGCTCATGTTCTTTCGTTATTATAACTTATAAAACGTAGCAGTTGATGAAGCACTGTTAAATGTGTCTTGTATTACGATATTTACATCAAGTTACGTGTACGTTATTGAATGATCGTCAAATTGTTATTTTGAGTTTATAAATGAAACTCCGGATTCTGTTGTCACGCATATATGTGTTTTTTTAAAGATGCTGAATCAACTGAAATAACATGGAATGACAAGATGACTGCTAATGATAATCTGTGAGGAAGGAGAATTTACTAGAGTGACTGAAGAGTACGACGAATACCCTCAATCTGTCTCCTAATATGAACCCTTTGATTAGTAAAGACTGATGTCATATGATAGACCCTGACGACTTCCACGGATCTTTATAAGCGACAAACAATCGGTTTTGTATGTAGCATCCATATGATGCAATCATTACAACAAACAACTGATCAAGCGTTGGTGTTTGTTTGTATTTGTCTCCGTTTTCATAGTTCGGATCTGTGGTACTGCCACAAGGGGCGTGGATTGGTTAGGGTTAGGCCAGTTGAAATGATCCCTGAAAGGATAATAAGGGCCAGACAAGGGAAATAAACATCGATCTTTGTAATTCTGGTTGAGGACTAGCGCGTTTTGATTCAAGGAAGCTTCACCATTGTTGTAAGTCGTACTTTCACTCTCTCCCGCGAGGGTACAGCACGTGGACTACACAGATGGTCATGTCATGCCTCACGTTTCGAGGCAAGAAAGTGTAACGCAACACTTTCATGTGTTCGCCTCGAAAGGTGAACCAAC